CACAGAGACCACACAAAGACCACACAGAGACCACACAGAGACCAAACAGAGACCACACAAAGACCACACAGAGACCACACAGAGACCAAACAGAGACCACACAAAGACCACACAGAGACCACACAGAGACTGTCAGCGCAGATCAAAGATAATGGCACATACAGTTCTGTGGATTGAGGTATGTTTACCATAAATCAGAGCCAGGTTTTGGAACTGGGTCTCGGCATCCAGGGCCTGTTGGCCCACATCAGGGACACCAGATGCTAGAGTGTCATGGACACAGGGCATGCTGTTCTTACACATTTTCTTCAGCTCGTCCAGCTTGGATGGACTGGTGCTCTCCAGCAGGAGCTCGGTGGAGACAGGTGATAGAGAAACGTTTGGAGGCAAAGAGTGCAGCAGGCTCTCTGGTCCTGGGACTGTCCCTGGAAGTTCAGAACACATGTAAGGAACAGAGGACTGTGTCGGTCCATCCATCATTCTCGTATCAGAACTCTGTGCTTATTTAATATTGATGAAATCAAACCAGAAGCAGACATTTGTTGGTTGATAAGCTAAACTCACAAGAGTTTTCCTTCAAACTACAGATTATCTCAATGATTCCATCACATTTCCTGGTTTTTAGGTTTGCTTGATGAAGTCAGTGAAGTAAGAGTATCCATGGTCCACTCACAGGACAGGCCAAAGGACTGCAGCTTCCCTTCATCTGGGGGGTTGAGTTGCTCTGAACGAAGGATCTTCCCATCCGACGTGAGGAAATCATCAGAGCGGTTGGAGCTCCAGAAACCCAGAAGGCCCACAGTACGATTGAAGAAGTTCTGAGGGACTTCCACCATGGCGGCCATCTGATTATTGCCTAGACCTCGCCACACGACCACGTGGAGACCACTGGCATACACGGCTGAACATAGACTCACAGAGACACAACGAGCAGCAAAGACCTTCTCTTTCACATGCACCACACCTGAAAGGACACAATGACAGTTTCATTCTGGAAGAAGCTGATGTTTGAGTTGATGCTGTGGCTCTGGGTTTCACTTTACATGGAGACAAACGGTCTAAGATCTGCCAGGGCAAAGCAACAGAGAGCAGCAAGAAGACGGGGAGCTAGATGTTTACAGAAACTCACATTCAGACAGAAGAGATGAAACAAGAAGATGCTGCTGAACACTACAGACCATCAGCATCACAATGTTTTACAGCATAAACATGATTTAACCAAAACAATATCAATAAAATGCATCAACCTGCAGCATGTTGTTAAATATTAAACAGAGACAGCAGCTTTCAATGTAAAAACTCTTCATTACCAATTCTGACCGGAACTTCAACATCATCCACAAACATCTGTAGTCCACTGTTTCTGTCTGAACATCTCCATTCAACCTGAAAGAATGCAGATAGAAGCAGCTGAATGTGGGTCCTGTACCAGTTCAGAGTTGAATCTCTCACCATGAAAGACAGATTATCTAAATGTGGACTCGTTCAGAGAGTTGGGTTGCTGACCTTGCCGATGCCTTGGTAGAAGGCAGCCATGCGAACCACTGCTGGGACCTCTATGGTCCCTTTTGATTCTGTCTGTAGTCGTCCAATCTGTCCTTGTAGGGTGAAGATGTTAGAGCCACTTGTGGAGGACAGACGCAACAAGACAAACTCCCCCAGAGCCTTGAAGGAGTACTGGCTTCCATCAAATGTGATGAAGTGAAGGCTGCCGTACACCATGGCTGCAGGAGACACATTTCATCATAAAGTACAGACAGAATAAAAACATTCAAGCTTCCATCTCAGTTCTGCACTGAAGACCCCAAATTATTATCAGTCCTCGTTGTTCTTCAGTTTCATTCAGTGTTTTGATTTGGAGCTCTTCTTCTTAAATAAAATGAAAAGTGAAGGTTTGGATCTGCAGAAACATTAAACAGAACTCTCATATGTTAACAAGGAGGATTTTACTACAGAATAGGTTTCCACACTTTAAATGCTCTAAACTTTCCAACAACTTAGTAAATACCTCGTATAACCACAATTGTTGATATTTCTTCTAAAGACATGGAAACATGGTTTGCTTTGTCCTCTAGCTGTCAAAAAGGAAACCTTGAATTCCTGCTGGGATTTAACTGACACAGTGTTTAATCCCTTCAACGTATCTTGAGAAGTGTAGTTTTAAATGAAGGGATTCCTCACCGATGCCCTGTGGGTCCCTCTTGGACAGCGACGATCCACCAGGGCTGTTCCAGCTGGAGCTCTGACAGTTGTCCATCGGCCTCTTGTTCAGGTAAAGCTGGCACAGACTGGAGTTAATGCAGCACCATTGGAACGGCAGGAGGTCTTCATCTGCAGAGAGAAGTCTGATGAGACACGCTCTCAGGCTTTGGTGAGACAGATTGGACTGAACACTGATCGTGTTTGATCCCATCCATCCATGTTTTATACCTGCTTCCTCCATGAATCACCTTTCTCCTGACAGGTTTGACTAAAGGTTGAAAGAATTACCGTAGTATTTCTGCGTGTTGTATTCAGTGAAGTAGCGTACGTTGATCCCGGCCAGCAGGGCACCTTCTGGTTCATACACACACATCTTTCCTGCACCGGATCTGTTGGACAGCAGTGACCTGAAGATGTATCCTGTAGCACCTCCCCACAGCTCATCCCTCAGCTGCTTCAGACTCGGACCTGGATCCGTGGTGTCCTGTAGGAAGGACAGGTCTGCCAGAGCCTGGGACAGACTACAGGGACAGGAGGACCCCCCTCCCATCCACTCAACAGGGTCCGGCTCCTTGGACGCCCACGCCTGGCACCTGATCTGAGGACTGAGTCCAGAGCCTTCCTGTCCAGTCAGGTTATACAGCAGCTGGCCTAGTTTACCCAGAGTTCCTGTAACCTGCTGAGGCCTGTACCTGCCCCCAGGCCCAAAGAGGTTTCCTGGAGGGACGGTGGGCTCCTTTACTGAGAAGATGCCATCTGTGTAGCCAATAAGAGCATCGTGGTACTTCCTCAAGCCAGGACCCCAGTTCATGTCCCCATATCTGAGGAGAGCGAAGGACCGGACTCCATCTGTGGTCAGGATGCACTGGAAGGTGTTTGTCTAAAAAAACATGTTTTTGTTTTAGTATAACCAGTGAAGACAGAAGACCTGACACTGACACAGACAACAGCAGATGTTTCTGTGTCCTGATCTAAAACTGCCACAAGATGGCTCCAAGAGCTAAACTACAGACCTGGAACCTGACTTTCAAACATCAGCACCACCTGCAGCACACCTCTTAGACCAGAGCAGATCTCAGGAACCTCTGAGAAGGTCCAAATACTGATGAACTGTGATTATTCTTCAGACAAAGAAATGAACCTAACCTGTGTAGCTGTGAGTTTAATGCTCCTCAGTCAGAAATACAAAGCAAACCTCAGAGACGTTCATCTTCTGATAGGACACAGGCATCACATTTTCCCARGTGATCTTCAGGATCCAGGCTGGAGAAAAGGAGGATCTTCCATTCAGAACCTCAAACTTTGTCACTTGGTCTGCYGTTCGATTAAAAACCACCTGAGAGTAAACATCTGACACGCCTCCTTTACTATATTCCTGAAAGATACAACACAAGGAAAACATAAATAATTACTGAACTCACTGCTCTTCTTCATTTAAAACAATCATTTTAAAACTCACACGACTTTCAGATACAGCTAACCTGATAGTGCAGCTTCCCGTTCCCCTTAGTGAGGTCAGCATCATCCCAAAACACCGCCAACAACGAGAGCTTCATGTCTTCAGGGAAACCACTGGCGGAGGGAGATGGAAGCAGGTACTGATCGTTGTCCGAGGCCATCTGAAACTGGACCAGACCGTTGTCTGAAAACTGAAAACAGGACGAGTTTCACTCTGAGGTTAACGTCACAGGAAATATTTAACCGTAAAACATTCTGTTTGTTGTTGAAACCCACAGAAATCTTGTCGTAAGATTTTCCCATGAAGGGAAAACCCATCGGAGGCCAGATGTACGGAGAACTTCCATCTTCTGAGTCGATCTGAACTTCTTTATCTGCTGCTCCTGCTCCGTATGGGTACAGGGTTCCCTCTGTGTGGACAGCAGACCCTAGTTCATTCATTCTGATAGAAAATCAGAGATCTGCTGCCGTCCACAGCAAACACACCCACAGGAAAGATTTGGTTACAGTTTTTAAAACCAAAAGTCTTTCCTGATTCAACCTGGGTTCAAACCTGCAGCCTCAGGACTGAGACCCCAGCTCTGACCACTGATCAAATAATAAACATTTAAAAAACACTTCCAAAGCAACATAATGTGAAACTGATGTCGTTATAAAAKAATGTTTATATTAGATGCTATAAAATCATTAAATATGGTGATAAATAAATACATATCTGACCCATCTGAGTCAAGTTTCTGCAAACTGAGCTGCTTTCTGGACAGGAACAGGTGAAGCTTCCTGGTAGGTTGGCACAGGATAATTGCTGGGCACATGTGTGGGACACACACTCGTTTAGGTCCACACATCCATCTTGTCCGTTGCCGTTAGTGCTGATAGGCTTCCAGCCGGGTCTGCAGGTGCACCTGAATCTTCCTGCCTGGTTGGTGCAGGTGGCAGCAGAGGGACAGATCCCTGATTCCTGCAGACATTCATCCATGTCCACGCACAACGAGCCAATGCTGATGTAGCCTGGCTTACACACACACACGAACGATCCTGGAGTGTTGTGACACTGGGCCAGATGATGACAAGGGTTTGTTGATCCAGTGCACTCGTCCACATCTGTGCACAAGGAGCCGTTTCCAGCAAAGCCTTCATGGCAGCGGCATGAGAAGGAGCCTGGACTGTTCCAGCAGTATGCCAGAGTATGGCAGGGGGACTTCTCACATTCATTGTTGTCAACACACACACCCCCTTCCTCGTGATACCCCAGAGGGCAGGAGCAGTTGTATGATCCAGGCAGGTTGGTGCACACCTGGTCAGAGCGACAGGCGGAGGTGTTTGAACATTCGTTGATATCCTCACAACTCAAACCAACATCTTTGTATCCAGAGAAGCACAAACAGCTGTAAGACCCCACGGTGTTGTTACAAAACGAGTGCTCCTGACAAAGGCTGGGTTCTGGGTGAGAACACTCATCCACATCCTGACACTCTGTTTTATTCAGAACAAAGCCTGGCTCACAGAGGCACTGGTACGACCCTGGCACGTTGACACATGTGGAATGAGGTTGGCACACTGAGGAGTTCAGGGAACGGGAACATTCATTTACATCGACACATTCAGTCCCYTTACTCCAAAACCCTCGGAAACAATCACAATAAAAAGATCCGACGGTGTTCCTGCACGTCCCGTTTGTGCAGATGTCCTTCTGCCCTCTGCATTCGTCAGTGTCCACACACAGGCCAGTGGTGCTGGAGAATCCTGGGTCACAGGGACACTGGTAGCTTCCATTAGTGTTCACACAGGTGCTGTGTTCAGGGCAGGTGGAGGGATCCAGACATTCATTGATATCCTCACAGCCGCTGCTGTTGCCTTTGTAACCCGTCCAGCACTCACAGATGGAAGATCCAATGGTGTTTATGCATCTGGAGAAGTTCGGACACTGAATGAGGCCAAGGTAACACTCATCGATGTCCAGACAGAGGGATTTGTTGCTGTGGAAACCAGGGTCACAGGTGCAGTTGTAGCTCCCCTGTAGATTCAAACAGGTGCTGTGTTGAGGGCAGGTAAAGTTCTGTGTTCCACACTCATCTATGTCCTGACAGTGTGTTCCGTTCATACGAAAACCCTGCCAACATCTGCAGACATAAGAACCGTTTGTGTTGAAGCAGTCGGATGAAACAGGACAGGGCTCCTGTGATTGGTCACATTCATCTACATCCAGGCAGTTAGTACCATTTCCTTCATAACCCTCTGCACATCCACAGTAGAAGGAACCCTGGTAGGGGTGGCACTGAGCATGAACGTGGCACCTGCTGCTGGCATTTCGGCAGGTGTCTTCACTCACACATGTGCCCTCCGGATACACACGTCCCAAACTACAGGAACAACTGTAGGAACCAGGGATGTTGTGGCAGGTCAAGTTCTTACTGCAAGCTGTGGGCCACTGGCATTCATCCACATCCTCACAGACAAAGCCGTCACCGTGGTATCCATCTGTACACTGGCACAGGTAGGAACCCTCTGTGTTGAGGCACAGTGCCTGGGTGCTGCAGTTGTGTGGCCAGGTAGAGTTTGTCTCACATTCGTTTATATCCTGACAGTAAAATCCGTTGCCCTCCATACCAAGGGGGCACATGCAGGAGAAAGATCCAGGCACGTTAGTGCAGGTGGCAACTGGGTGGCATCCTCCATTTTGGTGTTGGCACTCATCAAAGTCTATAATTTATCCAAAATGGGACAGTGTCAGGGAAGCAGCGCCAAAAGATGCTAGAAAAGCTAACAAGAGTGTCCATTTACAGAGGCAGAAACAGCAACTAATTCAATCGATGAATGTAAGAAGAGCACGATACTCACCAGAGCAATTCTTCCCGTCGCCTGTAAAACCACGGAAACAAGAGCAGGAAAAACTTCCAACTGAGTTTAAACACTCTGCAAACTGACTGCAGTCCTGCTGCCGAGTCTCACACTCATCCACATCTGGAGAGGAAGGAGAGAGACACACAACATGAATTTATTTAAACTGTAAATAAAACTCAATCAAACAGAGAATATTCTGCAAGATCACGAACTAATCAATGACATAAAGAGACAAAGTGTTTCCTCCTGTCGGTCAGGGTTGAAGCTAAAATACATGTCATAATGACATYCCATACATGTCGAGTTTTACAGATTGTAATTTACACAGCTTTTCCCTCATTTTGCAGGCAAACGGGTGTGTAGACCAATCTCAAAGATTTTTTCAAGTTTTACAGATTTTTTTCAAAACCTCAGCTTCAAATTTATTTAACATATCAGAGCCTGTAGGATGATTAAAAAAATAAAATAAAATCAAACAAGCAGCTTCCAACCTGCTCTGCTGCTAGAAATAAGTGTGAGTGGTACGGATTCTTTACAAAAMTTACAGATTTCTGAGGCTCATTCTGCAGGTAAACATCCGGAGGGGTTGACGCATGAAATTTCTGTTATCTGGGAGCAGCCATYTTGTATTTTCATAGCCAGGTGGATGTAAGCCTGTATCTCCCTTAGTTCCACCAACAACCTAGATTAAATCATAAACGTGTGATGGGTACAAAATGGCCAAGTAAATATGTACGCGGTCAAGAACACAGTTGTACAAGTTGCAGACAGAAAAATTGACTGTAATTTTCTAAAACCAGCCTCACTGGTCACAAACACTCTGAACTGATCAAAACTGCAGGTTCTCATAGCTGTGTGTCAGTATCTGGTCTTAACTCAGTTTCTGTCTATTTTACACACGAGTAACTAAAAACCCAGACTGCTCTGGTTTAGTAAAAGCAGGAGGTTTTGATTAAGATTTGCATAAATTAAACAAAGATGAAAGAAAAATATTTTACCAACACATTGTGTCCTGTTGAGGGTGTAGCCTTCTCTGCACACACAAGAAAACGATCCTGGGCTATTCACACATTTTGTCGTATTTTCAGGACAAATATTTTCCACCTGACACTCGTCTATGTCAAAGCAGGTCAGTCCATCTCCTTCGTAGCCCACATCACAAACACACTGGTATTCAGAAGGTGAGCGATGGCACAGGCCCTTACTGTCGCAGGAAGGATCACACAGGGAAGCAGGGGTCACACAGGTGTGATTGGAGGCGACTGTACCATTCAAACAGGAGCAAACATAAGCACCAGGTGAGTTGACACAGTGAGAAAAGGCAGGGCAGGTGGTGTTAGAGAGCGAACATTCGTCCACATCCTGACACAAGAAGCCGTTTCCACTGAAACCTTCTTGACAAACGCAGGAGAAGTCTCCAATGAAGTTGTGGCATTTAGCCCTCGCATGGCACGAACCAACCTTAGTGCACTCATCTATATCCACACACTGGGAGCCGTTTCCAGTAAAGCCTCCCTTACAGGTGCAGGTGTACGACCCCACAGTGTTCAGACAGGTGGCATTGATGTGACATGGTTTGTCCTGACACTCATCCTTATCAACACAGCCCATGCTGCTGGTAGGACGGTAATACCCAGTCTGACAAGGGCACTCATAGGACCCATCAGTGTTCCTGCAGTCTTCATTCAGTCCACATGGATTCGTCCGTTCTTTACACTCATTCTTATCTTGGCAAATTGTTTTATTGATCAGGTCGAAACCTGATGGGCACTGGCAACTGAAAGAACCCTGAGAGTTGATGCATGTTGCTCTGTTACTGCAACCTCCGTTACTGACAGAACACTCATTCACATCGCTGCACTGGACTTTTCCATTCCCAGAATAGCCCAGCTTACAGGTGCAGCTGTAGGAGCCAGGAAGGTTACTGCAAACAGCATTGGAGTGGCACCGTGATGTCAGAGAGCATTCATCTATGTCTGTACAGGTGAAACCATCTCCACTGAAGCCCGTCAGGCACTGACAAGAAAAGGAACCGGGGGAATTAGTGCAGCTTGCGTTGGGGCTGCAGCGACCTGCTTGACATTCATCGATGTCAGCGCACCTGGAGTTGTTGAAGATGAAGCCGCTGCCGCAGTCACACTTGTATGACCCTCCAGTGTTGACACAAGTGGTGGTAGACGGACAAATGTTCGGCTGAGCACACTCATTAATGTCTTCACACTGTCGCCCATCTCCAAGGTAACCTTCCAGGCAGGAGCACTCGTAGCTGCCCAGTCTGTTGATGCAAAGAGCCTTGGAACTGCATGTGTTGCCTGAGATGCATTCGTTTATATCTACACATGTCAACCCGTTTCCCACAAACCCACTTCTGCAGCTACACTGGTAGGACCCAACAGTGTTTTTACAATCTGAGTAAGGGCTGCAGATGTTGGCTGCACACTCATCGATGTCTGCACAGCTCTGTCCGTTACTTTGATAGCCAGTGCTGCAGGTGCAGCGGTAAGAGCCGGGCAGGTTTGTACAACCATTATATCCTAATGAAGAAGAACACACACGAGGGTTCTCTGAACACTCATCAATGTCTAAACACAGGTAGTTCCCATTTCCTTTGTAGCCAGTGTTACACGTGCACAGATAAGAGCCAGGGTTGTTGGTGCAGGTGGCGTTCCAGTGGCAGAGCTGTTGGTTCGAACATTCATTGACATCAGTGCACTTAAAGCCGTCGCCTACGAAGCCTGTGCTGCATTTACACTGCCTCGCTCCATCAGTGTTGGTACAAACAGCAGTGGGGTCACAGCCACCATTCGCTGTTAGACACTCGTTGATGTCCTGGCAATTTTTTCCATCTCCAACGTATCCGCTGAGGCAGGTGCAGATGTAGCTGCCTTGGGTGTTGTCGCAGCGAGCCTTGGAGTGACAGTTGTGGAGGAGACTCAGACATTCGTCAACATCAGAGCACTGCAGACCGTTTCCCTGAAAGCCTGTCTGGCACACACACGTGAAGTTGTTRCTGATCTTCATGCAGTCGGCCTGAGGATGGCAGCGGATGCCTTCAGCTTCACAGTCTTTCTGGTCAACAACAGCTGGAGAATAGAAACGATTAAGAAATATTATACTTGAGTATTTGTTTACATCTGTTATTTAGTTGTCTAAAAGCTTCAGTAAATGTGTCTGAGTATTATATGAGTACAGTAAATACAGATTACTGTAAGATACCTGCACAGCAGGATCCCAGCACTGTGATGAGTACTAACAGCCTAAAGAGAGAAAACCTATGAGCACAGAGAGAAAACATTATTTAGACCAACAGATGCATTAAAGCCTTTTACAAAGAATCATTCTGAGAAAACCAAACACCAAAAACCAAACAGCCAAATYAAAAACAAAGCCAAAGCTTAGTCCCCTGTCACATCAAAACTGACAAGATCTTTAAGACAGAAAAAACATGACAAAAATTTGACCAATATTACCTAATCAGAAAAAAAATCAATTAATGTTATCCTGAAGAAATTATTGGGGTTTATGTTATATACTGATTTTATATGTTATATACTGATTTTATATGTTATATACTGATTTTATATGTTATATACTGATTTTATATGTTATATACTGATTTTATATGTTATATACTGATTTTATATGTTATATACTGATTTTATATGTTATATACTGATTTTATATGTTATATACTGATTTTATATGTTATATACTGATTTTATATGTTATATACTGATTTTATATGTTATATACTGATTTTATATGTTATATACTGATTTTATATGTTGTATACTGATTTTATATGTTATATACTGATTTTAATTACACTACACATGGTATAGTGTAATTAAAATCAGTATACAACATAAACCCCAATAATTTATTCAGTACCCAACCTATTAGTTTTATTAATCTTCAGTGAATCACTTTGAACGATCAACTTCCAAAACTGAAACATATTTATATTAAACATGATGTAAACTTTAAAATTAACAGAGGATTAAAACAAACAGAACTCAGTCAACAACAGTGATGAAGCTTTCCACATCCACACATGTGTTCTGTCATTAGTACCTGTGTAGTTTTAGTAACTTTGTACCTTTGTAGTTTTGGTCAGTTGTACCTGTGTAGTTTTAGTAACTTTGTACTTTTGTAGTTTTAGTAACTTTGTACCTTTGTAGTTTTGGTCAGTTGTACCTGTGTAGTTTTAGTAACTTTGTACCTGTGTAGTTT